CCATCCTGCTGTTGGCAAAACCAGACCTCCAGAGAGCCTTGTAAAAAGGGCCAATCACAAGACTGACATGACCCACACCTGACCCCTCACTAGACCTTCACCTGTAGTGACCCTCCCACCACAAGACCTACTGACCACACAAAGCCCTTATAAGCAGAACACCAACACTGACATCCCTTACATTCCACTGGAGATGTCACCTAGCCTGGTAATGAAATGTTCGGAAACCTTCTCACAAGCTCAGAGAATGAACCTTCACTCTCACCCTACACCTGAGCTACAGATATTTATCATTTTTGCAAATGATGCAGGGATGATATTCCACAAGGAAGGAGCCACCTCAGAGAAGGCCCTTCTTCTTGGTCCCACTAGATGGACCTCCATAGGAGAAGGGACTCATAGCACTCCTCTCTGCTCTGGTGGGTCAAGTAGATAGCACTGTAAGAAGACAATCCTTCAAATAACCTGGTCCCAAGACATGCAGAGAGTCAATTGGGTGGCCATACAAATTTTCTTAAATCAATAAATAATTGATTCTCATTGAATCAATTTTGGTATACATTACTTCTCCTCCTCCAGATTTTAAATTTGGATTGATTATATGTTCTTATTTCCCAACCATAAACTCATTTCATCATTTTGCATCTTCTGTGACTTGCAAGGTAGCCTGAGAGGTGCTTAATGAACAGAATGGTCAGAGACTGGCCGAGCCAGAGGGGAGGAGTCAAATGTGGAATTAATGTGGAATCCCTACATGGGCATAAGAGAACTAAGTCTGCAAACTGTCGGTTTGAGAAATTCCTGTGTTATTTGTGTGGCTTGAGCAATAAAATAGCTAATTAAGCTCTTCACGTTGGATCTCATTGTTCCGCTTGTCATAAACAGGTTTTTTTAAAAAAAATCTTGGAATTTAATCTGTATTTCAACATTAATGTCTGCATGAAATTGCCGGCATGTTTTTAGAAGAGTCATTAAACCAAAAAGTCATGCATCTGTGTGATAGTATCTAACTTTTCCATATCCCTCTTTTAAAACTGTTCTAGTTTACAGATGTTAAGGATGACCAGATTCTTTTATTTAGCTGCAAAAGCATGAACTTTTCCAGCTTGAGACAGAATGATAGATTCTGCGGTTGACCTTTGCATTCCTCTGAGTGATGAATTTTATCATTCTGAGCAATTTCCTTTGGGGAGGAAAAGTCACTTTATGACTTTCAAAGCTTTTGACATCTTTTCTGCACTGATGGATTGAGTCTTATTTACAGTCTGAGACTAAATAACAACAGCAATGCAAGTCCCAAAGTCAAAACAGACAAAAAAAAGATAAAGGAAAGCATAAAAGAATAAATTAAGGTCGAATAAGATACGTAATATGGAGATAAAATATTCAGATCCATAGATCAAAAGTAAATTAAATAGGCAACTCCAGCATTTTAAAAAATTGCCGGCACTGATATATTGCAGTAGAAGGATAAACCAAATAATTATGCATTATACAGGTAATCCTCAACTTGCAACCATTTGTTTTGTGACTGTTCAAAGTTAAAACAGCACTGAAAGTGCGTTATGACTGATTTTCACACTTTTGACAACATCTCCATGGTCACGTGATCAAAATTCGAGCGCTTGGCAACAACTAAGGTGAACTGGACTGGGCTGAGAGAGAGAGGGACTGGCCCAAAGTCACCCAGCCACCTTGGGCGTGAAGCCCAAGACTGCATTAGAACCAAGACTCACCTTAGCTGGCTTTCATGCCTAAGGCAGGACTAGAACCCAAGTCTCATGGTGATTGGCCCAAAGTCACCTAGCTCGCTTTTTTGCCTTAGGTGGGACTAGAATTCAGAGTCTCTTGATGATTGGTTCAAAGTCACCCAGCCAGCTTTCATGAATAAGGCAGAACTGGAACTCATGGTCTCCAGGTTTCTAACCAGGTGCCTTATCAACTAAACTGGCTCACCCAGGAGCTTCCAGAGATCCGTCACAAGCGCATGTTGTTGTAAGGAAGGGCAGATTCCCTCAAGTGGAGTCCCTTGACAGCATATTCAGCTCCCAGGGCAGCCTCCGGAAGGGGTTTCCCCTTGCCTCCTTCTGAAGCTTCCACTCTGCCTTGGAAGCGGCCCCCCCACCCAGCAATAACCAGGGTCAATCCTGCTAATCTTCAGAGACCAGACAAGGCTGCTACCTCCATGTGTTATTGTTGCAATCTATACAGTCCTTGACATACGCCTATAACGGAGCCAAAAATTCCTGTGGCGAAGTGAAATATTGGTTAAGTGAGTTTTGCCCCATTTTGCGACCTTTCTTGCCACAATTCTTAAGTGAATCATTGCTTCCTATTGACTTTGCTTATCCAGTTATAACAAGTGATCATGACACTGCAACCGTCATAAATGTGAGTCAATTGCCAAGCATCTGAATTTCGATCACGTGACCACGGGGAAGCTGCAACAGTCGTAAATGTGAAAAACAGTCATAAGTTACTTTTTTCAGTGTCGTCATAACTTTGAATGTCACTAAATGAATTGTTTTAAGTCCAGGATTACAGGTAGTCCTCAATTTACAACAGTTCATTTAATAACTGTTCCAAGTTACTAATTTAACAACTGCATTGATTCATTTAACAAATTGGCCAAGAAAAGTTGTAAAATGGGACAAAATCAAAATAGTCCTCTCCTGCAGGAGCTGCATTGGTTGCCGATTTGCTTCCAGGTGCAGTTCAAGGTGCTGGTTGTCCCCTTTAAAGCCCTTCATGAGTTGGGACCAGGTGATCTGAGAGAAGGTCTCTCGCAGGTCACACATCTACCCTACCTATTAGACGGGGAGGGAGGGAATCCTGTGGGTCCATCCCCGAGGGAGATATACCTGGAGGGACCCAGAAGGGCCTTCTCTGTAGTGGCTCCTTCTCTCTGGAACATCATTCTCCCAGAGATTAGAATGCCCCCCATTCTTCTTACGGAAGGCTCTGAAGACCTGGTTTGGCCATCGGGCCTGGGAAACCCAGAGTGAGATGGAGCCCATCAAATGGCTCATGTGATGTGTGGGCGGGGGTAGGGGGGGAGTTGGGGGGGTGATTTATTTATTTTTCCAGATTTTGTTCTATTGTACTTTATTAACTTATTTGGTACTTTTTTTTTTTTTTTTTTTTAAATATGGTTTTACATTCTGTAAGCCACCTTGAGTTGCCATGAGCGAATAGGCAGCAATATAAATTTAATAAATAAATAAACCTCACTTAACAAATTTCTCACTTAGCAACATAAATTTTGGGCTCAACTGTGATTGTAAGTAAAGGACTGACTACCTGTCCTGTATGTCTATTTCCCCCCATGCATAGGCGCAATCCGGTTAGACTTAAGGTGAAGCCGCCACTCTGGGTGACAGGAGTAGGGCCAGTGCCAGAAGAGCATTCCCAGAAAGAATGGGGGCGGCTTGCAAGAAAGCAACGCAGGCTTAATTACACCTTGGAGCTCCTGCCCGCCTCGCCCGACCGGTTTTGAAAGAGCCAGCCCGACGGTTTCGGCGGCTCCGCTGGGGCGGCGCAGGCTGTTTATCCCTGGCTGGAAGCGAACCCAGTTAAGCCAGTCAAAGTCCCCTTTGCGAGCGTTGCAAGAACAGGTCGGGGGAGTTTCGCTCCCTCGTTCCCATCCGGCTCCGTTCCGGGTTTGGGGGGCTGGGGATGGGCTGCGAAGCCGGCGGAGGTTCCAGTACTCAGACGCTGACACACACACGCTCCCCGCGCAAGCCCACCGGGTGCTGGGAAGGACCGACCCGGGCTGCTTCTCCCAGCGCCCTGC